AAATAATGTTTTTCAGTTAAGCGTAAGTTGTCCATACGTTCCGGTTTGACCGGATTTTCACCACGTGTCCGAGTTTTCCTAAAAGAAAAATTGCCCTATATTTAGATCTTGCCCCGGATTTTTCCGGGTTTTCAAAAAATATAGGTTTAATTAAATCTTTGCTATTATTTGACAATAAAATTATTTGACAACGAGTATGCTTATATAAATAAATACGTCATGAATGAGAAATATCCCGGATACAAAATTCTAAAGGTGGGGTAAAATAGCATCTCAAATTCATAAATTTGAAGTTTATTTTTAATTCGATGGAAATTAACAAAAGTAATTAAAACAAACGAGCAAGTGCTCATTTTTCCTAATGTTCAAAGATAAAAAACATAGAATAAGAAACCTATAAAAATATTATATCATAGGGAAAATAATAGTATAACATGTAATCGAAAAGTTCTTACTAAAAGTCCGTATTTCTGATGAAAATATTGATTCATTAAAAAAAAATATATAAACTTAAATTTTATATGTCATTTTGAAATCATATTTAAGTTTTAGCATAACCCCCCTCCATCCCCCTCCCGGGTTAGCATAACTAAAATTTGCCGTCCCGGTTTTGACTTCAAAAAATATGGTTACCTTAGATTTAATTCATTGTAGGTCACATTCCTCATTGAAAAAAAATGTATATTTTCGCTTATTTGATCTCTTTAATTGTAACGTTTTCCTTTACACTTTTTCCATGCTATGGCTCTATTACTTTATTACATATAAGTGGGTGATGTGATGCCATACAGCAATTCAGTTCATACTATGTATTTTTAGAGCAAGTGATCACATCATAAACGAGATAGGTTCTGATTCCGCGATAATCCACCCGAATTACTAAATTCAGATATTAATTTGCATATAGTGTTCAGCCATTATAGAATTGTCGGATCAAGCCATTAAATTTATTGATCATAAAACTAGAACTTAACAACCATATTAATATATTAGTTACAAAGCCATAACAGCGTGGAAGATCAACAGAACGTGATCCGGCGTGAATTGGGCAATGAATGTAATTGGTTTCCTACATACTGGCGGTGGTGGATGGTGCCTTGCGAAGTGGCGAGCCGTCCGATAGAATTTTTTGCAAGTCTAGAACACTTGATTGATGACACATCACGGCCACAACATTCGATTTTTTTTTTATCTTGGCATGAAATATTCAGAAGCAAACAGCGCGTCTCTATTCGAGCATCGGCATCGGCAGCCAACGTTTCGATATTTTCTTTAAGTGGCCATTCAATGTCTCGTCTCTGATCTGCCCTATTCAAATGCTCGTGGAAATTCTATTTCGTTTCACTTATCTGTGTGAATATCATTTATCAAGGCTAAGCGGCTTACGAATGTGTTCATCCACGGTACAAATTTATCGAGCTGTATATATAGTTGTTTACTTCTTTTATATTTTATTGAAACGCTTTATTTGAATTCTGTGAAATCTTTTACAATCTTTTCAAACGTCTTTAAAATAAATGTCGCGTATAAAACTCGATATATAACGATAATTCTACAAAATATATCAAAGAAGTTCACAAACTCTGGGTGTGAGTGGCATTTTACCTGAAAGCAAGTGCATGATTTTCTGATATTCAGAAATGGTTGTGTCGATCAATAAAACTGAAATTGAATTGAATTTGTTTAAACTGTCTATGTAAAATTATCGAACTGTTTTTCGTAAGCACCTTCTGAAAGAAACCTAAACACATAATTTCGAAATAATATCTTCTGATAGAATAAAGAATTTAACTGTCAATTTCAAAGAAACCGCTTGATTATTAAATAAAAATAGTCAATTTATTGGTATTTCATTAAATCGTATTTTTAGTAACTAATATTAACATTAGTAATCACAAAAATAAGATAAATAAAAATTTTTATATATCTTTACGTTTCAAATTATTCTGAACATTTTGGCACACCATAGAAAATATGCCTGTATTAGTGTGTATGTATGCATGTATATACGTCTGGATATAATTATTCGTCTACAATTTCATGAGTACGGATTAATCGATTTTTGATTATGGATTCAACCGGATTTCCCTTTTTCTCATTATTGGAAACGTTATGAAATATTTCATCGATGTGACTTTTTATCAGACAGGCTCTCATTTTCTTAATTTGAGAAGAAACGCATTAAAAAACTTTGACATATTGACGGGGTTGATTGTCACAATTCTTTAACATTGAAATGGATCTTATTAATTGTTCAAGTGACTGACTATTTTTAGCACAGTTTCATATTTTCAGAATACAGAATGATTACTATATACAAGTAGTTGTAAAATGTAATTTTAAAATATAAAATAATGGTTATTATAGCCATTTTATAAATAATGAACTTAATTTAACATAAATGTATGTGAATCTATTAATATCGATCTCTCCACCAAAGAGCATTAATTTATACATTAAAAATTCAACAAACCGTCACGTTGAAAGTTTTTTTATATTTTTGATACCACATTGTATAATGAACATAATTTAATGTAAGTATATGTAAAAGATACTATAGTGACATCTATTAATAACAATCTCCATCAATGAGCATTAATTTTCTCTTCAACATTTCAACAAACCCTCGACGTTGTAAGTTTTTCTATATTTTTGTGACAACATCATAATAAACATAAATTAACATAAGTGTATGTCAAAAACACTATAGTGACATCTATTAATTTAAAGCCCTCGCGTTAAAAGTTTGTCTAATTTTTTAATACCACATTATAATAAGTAATAGATTATATCCTGCAATGCATTATAATAAGTAATATTGTTTTTTTTTATTTCAGAATTTGAAAAATCAATTATGACCACTAACGTTGGGTTGAACAAGTAAGTATTTTTAAAATACCTCTGATTGAACTTATTAATTGAATGTATATCAATATCCTGGTTTTTATTTTTACAGGAATGGAATGATTATAAGTTAAAATGGAATCCAGATGACTACGGAGGTGTTGACACTCTCCATGTTCCATCTGAACACATTTGGCTGCCAGATATAGTTCTTTATAATAAGTAAGTATCATTATTTATCCATCATTTTCAATTTTAGCAATCATCTTCGATGTTCAAAGAAATTAATTAATTCGCAGATAATTTAAAAACCAATATTATCGTTTGAAACTGGTACTTTACTTTTGTAATTCATTTTAATTCAAGATGAAAATCAATATTCATTCTCTTTGTGGTGTTTACTTTATTCATCCTTTCATTATGCAGTGCAAACAATTTTCAATTTTTAAACTTCATGTAAACAGATTCCAAAGTCGTGATGTTAAATAAGGCAACTCCTAAATTATTTTGTATACTTTTCATGTAACAAGCTGGGATCTTTGTTGAAATTGATTATAATAATTATTGAATATTCAGATATTGTAGCAATATCCTGAATAATATTTAAAGTTACTTCATATCAATATGATACTTTTATACATTATATTCTGCAGAGATACAGAAATAATAATTATCATCATTCGGTCCTTTGGTTTTCTCGTCTTTGGTCTATTGGTTAATTTCGTTTGTTTTGTCATTTTAGCTTTTGTCTTATTTTCTTAAGTTGATGTATAATAAAATAAAAGGATAATTAAAGTTTGTGTCTACTTACGATAAGATCAAAGGTTTTGCCTTATAATAAATTCACTTATAATAAATAATATATAAATTATTAGTTGATTATAGCCACGTATATTGGGTATTACCTCAAATTTTATTAGGAGCGGAGTAGGAATCCAAAAATAGCTTAATTACTTAAGTAAAACTGTAATAGAATGTCCCAAGTAAATAGATATAAAATAAGCTTTAAAATATTTCGTTTCTGTTTAGAATATCCAAAGACTTAAATTTTAGCATAATATCATAAATGAAGAAAATTTAAATTAAGTAATCCGTCAGTATTGTTCATAATGAAAATTATCGATGTTTCAAATAAGAAAAAACATTTATGGGTCCTTTTACAAATCGCACGGATTTTGGGTAAAATAAAATGTCACATTTCAGAATTGTCTGAAACTTTTTCTACAGATATTATATATAAAATCATTTAACATGTATTTTATGATTTTGTTAAATCGGTTGAATCTAACTATAAAATTTCTCTACTTTCAAATATTGTTGTTAACAAATTCCTAACTTTACTTGTTTTTGAGCCAGTGGTAGTGTCCCTTTTTACCCGCTGACTTTTAAGCCCCGCTCTCTCCTATAATTTTTTTATAACATATTTTTCCCCAGAAACAAAATTATAATATATTTTTCAACCGACAAACAATAAGATGGACATTCGAAAGTGATAAATGAGTACAACAGTCTGAGACCTTTGACGTGAAAAGTGTGAATCGCGCTCGAAATTATTCAATATATTTGGATGTAACAGAGTCTCCAACAAATTGTAAAAAAAATAATAGCGGAGTAAAAAGAAAAAAATATGTTTATTTTTTAATCGATTCAAGCTGGGGTAACGGTAAGTAAAACCTTTGCAAACATTTAAGAGTTGTTATAGTTAAGAAAATTTCAAAACCATTTTTTTTTTAAATTATAATAAAGATAATTTCAATACAAGCTTGATAAAAAAATGTTGCTGGTCCGATCAGCACAAGTGGATATAATTAATTTAACGCGAGGGATGTTTGACATAAATTGAGCAAAAGATCCATATTTTAATTGCTAATATTTACGTAGAATAATTTTTTCAGCAAAATCCTGAAATACGTGTCAAATGATTTTATATCATATCTGTAAAAAAAAAAATTAGACAATTCTAAAATGTCAAGGTTAGGTTGTTGTGCGGTTTGTAAAAGAATGATAGTAAAACTTATGATAGATAGATATTATTTTAGATTTATGAGCCGATTCAGCCGCACAACAGACCTAAGTTACGGCAAGGCCTTGTTACGAGTCAAATTTCATACATTATGCTACTGTGAAAATGTCATTTGTTTGCTATGCATTCAGGCGTTTCTCACATAAGCTGCAATGACACATATGTTATGAAGCTGGGTCAAAAAGACCCTGTTATGTAAGATTGTTTTTTGACATTTATGCTGTTTCTAGTTAGGTTTTTCTATTTGACAACCTGAGAAAAACGCCTGACTGCACAGCAACCACATGGCTTTTTTAATATTTAGTATAGAAAGTTTTTCATAACATAGCATTGCCATAACATTGGTGTGCTGTGCGGCAGAATCGGTTCATTAACTATTTTTTATTTTTTTTTATTGCGTACAATCTACCTACACAAAAATTTTAGATGATTTTAAATAATTTAAATCAATATGTATCTAAGCAAATCAAAGATGTATCTAAGCCTTCTTTTGCCTTCTAGTATAAAATAGTATCACTAAAAAAATTTAAGCTTTGCTTGTTTTTGAGATGATGGTAGACAGTTTCACTCACGGACTTTTAAGCCCGTAAGTAAAATATTTATTTAGATTATTAATATTTAAATTGTTATTACTATTAATTAATTCTTATGAAGTTTAATTTATGTATCTCGTTCCCTAAGAAAGTAAAGATAAACCACGTCCTATTTATAAAGCAACTGACTTCCCCATATACAAAAATGCGCTGATGCAGCAGATAGATGAAGCATTACATTAGATTAAAATCCGCATCAGAATTCAATGTTTTATCCGATGTCGCACTTTATCGTGGAAATCCTTGATAAGAAGCGATGTATTTGTCACTTTTCCGAGAAGCTATAGGTCGAAACGTTATATAAGTGATTTTGATTCGATTTCCCGCAGTGCCGACGGTAATTACGAGGTGACTATCATGACGAAGGCGATTCTGCATCACACCGGCAAAGTGGTATGGAAGCCGCCTGCCATTTACAAATCCTTTTGTGAGATCGACGTCGAGTACTTCCCGTTCGATGAGCAAACGTGTTTCATGAAATTCGGATCGTGGACGTACGACGGATATTTGGTAAGTGCATCTTTATTTATTAATTATGACATTTTAATTTTATTTCAATTTTATGACAAGTACTTATGATTTTATGTGTTCGTGTATATGCGAGTATTTACTTAAACAAAAAAGTTTTTCTACTCTAATTTATATTTATATTTCGGATACAGGATTGAATTTAGTAATTACAGAAAATAAATTATATTAATTGAATTTTTTTATGTTTATTTGCTGACTGTGTACACGTACATAGTTATATACATTTATCAAAGTTATCTTCACACTAAATTACTATAAATCGAATTAATTACAGTAAAATATAACACTAAAACAATATTAAGCCTAACATTAGTATGATGTAATGCATTAACTTAAAGAAAAAATGTTATGGTATTGAAATAATGTATTTAAGGCTTTTAGATCTTGAGATTCTGATGGTAAAATAATCCTTTAAATATCCGTTAGATAATAGTACAAGCAAAAACTTGTTTTTGGAAATAAGTAGCTGAAAAACTGAACTAAATATGAATTCTTTCTTATTAAGGAGTCAATTATCTGGTAAAATAGACCATAACATAGCGTTGTTATCTTTCTTTCTTGGTACTAAAAACAATCCAAATGCTTTGTAGTGCTATGTATCAAATCAAACGTTCTGATCACTATTTACTAATGAATAATAAACAAATTTATATATTCATGACATTTTTATAAATATTGAGAATTAGAATTAACGAGGTGTAAGTGATATTTTACCGTAAGGCAAGTTGCATGAACTTTCAGATACAAGTAATTAATCGACTTAGGGGCCAATTCTCTGGTTCAATGGCGCATAAATAACCATAACATTGCGTTGTTATGTTATACAAAAAAAACTAACTTCTTGAATGTGTTATTACGACACATCGGAAATATGCAGTTATGTTAATATTATTTTTTGGCGTTTGTGCGTTTTCTAGGTAAGATTTTATGTATAAAACGCCTGAATGCACAGCAAATACATAGTATTTGGACTGTTTTTAGTTCAAAGAAAAAAAACATAACGCTATATGGTCTATTTTACCATTGGCTCCTTAATCAGAAAGAATTGAAATTTAGATAAGTTCTTCAGCTATTTATTTTCAAAAAAATGTTTTGCTTGCACTAAAATCTAATCAATGCGATTTCTAAATGGTATCATTCTAATCAACTTATAATATCTGTAATTGTAATAATTGAATTTGATTTATTTAAAACATTTAGTTTGACTGCGCGCTTCCAAAATATAATTTATTTAGGTGTGAACATCAACGGTGATCAGTACAAAACAACTAAAACATAGCATCAGTAATGTGTGATAATATATGTGAATTGTCACACTAAATTTTAATTTTAATCAAATTCAATTTAATATTGCTGTTCAGCATTAAATAAATAAATAAGAAATATGTGATAAGGGCACATTCTAACACATCATTCTAAGTTTTAATAAATTTATTTATTTTATTAAACCACTCTAAAAAATAATTAATATACAAAGAAACGAAGCATCCAATCTTCACTAAAAATTAATCAGCACGATTGTTGACTGATTTTTTAGAGAACTGTTTTTTTAAATATCAATTATTTTCAATATCAATTCAGGATTTTTAGTGAAAACATTGTCAATTTTTACTAATCTGTTGCATATTAATAAATAACTCGTTAATGGTAACACCTTATGTTTTTTTTAATATCTGCACCTATTCCAATTTTTGGTATATACTCAGAATATCAATTCAGTGATTCGACCATCGACAATAAAATTCTTTCGATTAATTAAAATTTTATCTTACACGAATTTTTTCGTCATAATTTTATATAAAGTTTTTATCGAACTGGTTTTTATCGAAATAATACACATCAGTACTTGATGAGTTTGATTGTTGGCTTTTAAATCCAAATTACTTTTTAATATTTTGAATTGAATTAATTTTTTATAAATGTTTTAAATAATATTACAAAAATATAATATGCTAATTTTAGTATATTATTTATTAGCATTGTGAAATTACAACAATATTTCAGTTTTTAATATTAGGAAAAAAAATTGTTTTATTCGAATAGATATTTACAAGTCACTTCTTCATATTATTACCAAAGCGCAAATGTATGAAAAAGACAATATAAACTTTCATAATTTCTGACAAAAGACAAATTACTTTATATTTTGAGTTCAAATTGGTTACAGTAGAAAGGTAGAATTTATTTCTCTCTCAATATTTTGTAGTTATTTGATATATTTAGTTTCCAAATACAATAATTTATAAAAAAGTTATTCATATAGTTATCTACCCCGTAAATATTTGATTCACAGTTTTAACCGAAGAAAACTCTTAAATAAATTAAAGATAAATTTAAACTTTCTACAAATAGAATTATTCAAGATATTCATATAAAGAAGACTTCAAATATAGTTTTCAGTATCAATAAAATCTTAACTTGGAACATAAAAATGAAATAAACATTTTGTTTTATTTTTGTTTTCAATATATCGTAGATAAATCTGGTTTATTTCGATTGAAATAAAGTTTACAATCTTCACATCGATAGAATCAAAAGTTATTTTCTCATCGCAATAATACATTATCTAATTAATTTGGAAAAATTAAACAGAATCCATTCCACTGATAGTTGAATATATTTTTAATATTCTGTAAAATATTAATGTCTACTTTATAATAAAATTATTCATAGTTGAAAAGTTTGTAATTGTATAAGAGTTCAATAATAATAGTACCTATACAATGTAAAAAATGACAAACTTATAAAAACTCAAACTTTACTGCTTTTCCGCAACATTCTATCGTGCAATATATGCTAAACTGTTATCAAACTATTTTGATTTATTAAAGTGAGTTTTATAAAATATCAGGACCATAAATGTTCTATCGATAATAAATTTCTATTAGAACTTATATAGTTGAAGCAGATAGATTTTACTACATTGTAAATTATAGATTTGCTGCATTATATGTATCTATGTCAATCGGATATGATTATGCGGTTGTTTATTATATATTACCTATTATAATTTGCTATTTGAATATCAATTTATTCCAACTGCGGTTAGACAAAGTCATAATAGTACAGAAATTAAATTCATTTTATAATTGACGCGATTTGTATTGGACGCTTTATGACATACGTTTTATTCATGTATCTATATTTCCGATATTGTATCTTTATTTTCCATTCTAACTTAGATTATAATTCTCATATTAATATTTATTTTTGCATAGTAATGAAGTGACACTGATAGTACTGATCTTAAATATGATGAAAAAAAACTAAAAAAAAATATTTTAAGTAGTTTGAAAATTATGAGCTTTTAGGTGTAACCCTGAGCTTTCGAATCACCTTTTTTCGTTAATGTTTTCAACTTTATTTTTTTTTAACTTTGGAATCGTAACCGTAAATAACATTTCAAGAACCACAGTAAAAACCGTATATTTCCCCAAGTATTCATGAATTTTAAGACTGTTCGATAAACTATTAATTCAAAATTTGCAAAATTTATCGAATTTAAGAAGGGCCCTCTTTTGAAAAAAGGAAACTAATTTGTGTTGGCATGTTTCATCAGAAGTTGAAGCATTTAATAAAGATAATACCGGTAATATACTTTATAATTTCAAAATAGTTTGCTAGCGCATTTTGTTCTTTTACCGACACATAAATATATAGTCTTCAAAGTCAAATGGTCTTAATTGTAGAAAGCTTTTATTTAAACTATAGTTTTAGAAAGATTTCAGTTAAGATTTCAAAGTTTAAATTAACAAAAATCAACTACAATAACTGAAAAATGATCACAGTTTTGAAAGCTCCAAGCAGTACTTAAAAGCTCATAATTTTCAAACTGCACTCGATAGATTATTTTTTTATTTTTCTAATGATAGTTACTACTGATACTATTACACGTTTCGGTTTGACGTTGAGTTCTGGGACACACTGTATATGCACGTAAACAGTACATATTATGGTTGGTTATAAATTATAAAATTATAAATTATAAATTTAACAGAAAAAAATTAATTATTACTTTTCCAAAATTTACAGAAGTTTAGAAATTCAGCTATTTCAAAATCGTTAAAAGTTTCAAGGGTTTAAATTAAATCGTTAGCACTGATCGCTTTGTGTCGACGTTCTGTTCTATTTATGTATTTTTTATTATTATATAATAATAATTAATCTGTTCTAAAATAGACAACTAGAATTACTGTATGGGTTAAATAATGTTTTCAAAAGTACAAAATTTTCTTAATTAAAAAATATATCTCTAACTACATTCCCGATTACTGAATGTCTCCTGAAGACAGATTGTAATTTATTGATTTATTAATTTAATGTTTTCAAATAGATTTTACTAATGAGTTATATTAATAATAATAATAGTTAATAGAAAAGTGAATAAACAAGACTCAATCAATCGAATTTAAAATGAAGGACATTGTCTAATATTTATAAAGTTAAAATTATTTTTTAGAGTATATGAGCGAGCTTTGAAACTTTAGCTAGAATTAAAATTAAAATCCGAATTATTTTCGATATTCAAAAAAATTACAGACAGACACACAAAACACGCACACACATCCATTTTTTCAGGTATGCCAAAATGTTCAGAAACCTGTGAAACAAAGATAGGCAAAAATTAGTTTCACTAATTTGGCCTAAAGGCTTTCTTTTATTAATATTTAAATCACAATCTGTTTTATAATCAAAAGACATTTATTAATTATTCTGAAACTATACAAAGTTATGTTTTTAGAAAACTACCTATTGGTAAGTTTGATGTAAATGGCTTAAGGAAGTATTCTAGTGTAGAGCAATAAATTTTAGGTAATTTTTAAAGTGTGGTAAAAGAAAGCAATGAATGTTTTTACTATCCATTTTGTTACCACTTGTTTATTAATATTATTAAAATATCAAACAAAAATTTAAAAAAAAGTTGAAAATTGAAAAAACTGGCGGATGCTAAAGTGGGGGGTCTCAAAAAATTGGCACCTCAGTCTTGCCATGATTTCAGCCCTTATAGCCATCCGAAATAAAAGAAACAAAAAATTATTAATCTACAATGATGTCGCAATCGCCCGAGCTAGCGATGTGTAAAAAAAAATTCTGCACTAGAATACCCCCTTAACAGTAACACAATATCGTACATCACATCTACTAACTACATCATTAACTTTTGTATTACGAGTATTTCTAGTTTAGCAATACATTTTATGTCTCGTTAAACAAGCACCTAGTTCAATAAAATAATTTGCATCATAAAAAAAGTTTAGTCCATAAAATATTTCTCACTTCGAAAATGTTTTTCTTTCTAATCCAACAGATTGATCTGCGACACTTACAACAGACGCCCGATTCGGACAACATAGACGTCGGGATCGATCTGCAGGATTACTACATCAGTGTGGAATGGGACATAATGCGCGTGCCGGCCGTTAGAAATGAAAAATTCTATTCGTGTTGCGAGGAGCCCTATCCCGATATAATCTTCAACATAACTCTCCGACGAAAGACGCTGTTCTACACGGTCAATCTGATCATCCCATGTGTAGGAATTTCGTTTTTGTCCGTTTTGGTGTTCTACCTCCCGAGCGATTCCGGAGAAAAAATCTCTCTGTGTATTTCGATTCTGCTGTCTCTGACTGTGTTCTTTTTGCTGCTGGCCGAAATTATACCTCCTACGTCCCTCACGGTACCTTTGCTGGGAAAATATCTCCTCTTTACTATGATGCTGGTCACGCTCTCTGTAGTGGTGACCATAGCAGTGTTAAATGTAAACTTTAGGAGTCCTGTTACGCATAAAATGGCACCGTGGGTGCATAGATTATTTGTGGAGCTACTGCCTAAAGTTTGTGTATGCAAAGGCCGAAAAAGATGACAACGGGCAAGATGACACGCAGGATGATAGGCCGTCGGAAGTGTTAACGGATGTCTTCCATGTACCATCAGAAATCGATAAGTACGTGCCGTATGGCGGGAAGAGGTTCAGCGCGGACGAGTTCGAAATACCAGGTAGGATATAACATTTAATAATACTTTATATATTAGGGTGGTCCTTAATATAGACATTTTTGAATTTCCTTGCTCTTAAGGGCTCAAATCGTTCCAAATTGATAAAAAAACAATTCTCTGAAAGTTTTAGCTCTTAATATTGTCCTTTAGATAGAGCGCAATTCAATCAAAGTTTGTATGGAAATAGTATGAAAACATTTTCAAAAATTTTGCAGGGAGCCGAATTTTCAATAAAAAATGACACAAATTTTCACTTTTAATTCATTTGTCGCTAAGTTATACCTAAAAAAATGTTTTTTTAATTTTTAAATTTTTTTCCATGCTATTTCCATACGAAGTTTGATTGAATTGCGCACTATCTTAATATTAAGAGCTAAAACTTTCAGTGAATTGTTTTTTTATCAATTTGGAATCATTTGAGCCCTTGGGAGTAAGGAAATTCGAAAATGTCCATATCAAGCACCACTCTAATATGCATACTTATTAGGATGGTTTTTAATATGGATATTTTTGAATTTCTTTGCTAGCAAGGGCTCAAATGCTTCCAAATTGATAAAAAAATCAGCAAGTTTTAGCTCTTAATATTAACTTCAATATAATCGAACACCAACCAAAGCTTCTCATGGAAATAATAAAAAAATAAATTGTGGCATATTTTATTGAAAATTTGACGCTCTATAAAAAAGATTTCTTATAATTTTTCGCAAAATCTATTGGCTTAAGAATTATTCGAGCTCAAAGTTAAATTATATAATTATTATGTAAATACTTATTTTATAAAATATATCAATATTTTTGTAAAAAATTTATTTATGATCAAAATAAGCATTCGGGCACAATTACATCAAAAACATGAATTTCTTCATAAACTTACTCTAACATTCGGCAGCACTGATATCAATACGTTTCGGCAGCAATGATATCAATTTTTACTTGAAAATCGAGATTTACATGTTTTCAATTGAAAACAGCCCATTTCGGATACTGTTGTTTGAAATAGAAATGGAAAATCTCGTTTAACTCAGCTCATGGACCTGCCCTAGAACAGTACTATCCAATATAAATACCATTATAAATACATATACATATATACATATACATATAAATAG